TCTTAACAGCTCTTCGCAATAGCTCACGGCCACAATGCGGCCCAATCCCTCCAATCTCCTCTTCTTTTTATGAATCAAAAAAATTCGTCAAATACTTAGAAGTGAAGAGCTAAGGAAGTAAACACTCTCTACTTAGGATATTTTTTAGCATCAAGGAGACTACCTTCTTCTGTCCGCCTCTTTCAGCCAAAGCATTTGATTTGCCTTTGCACTATGAATCGTAGCTAATGCGACCTTTCAGTGTTCTTCCAGCCTCAACAAATCTTATTGTGCTGCTTTTTTGTGGATCTGTCCCAACTGCTTTATCCAGAGGGTGGGCTTAAAGATGGGCCCCCTTTTTATCCCCAACTAACAGTCACTTGTGTACGAGATGCTTTTGCATTGAAAGGCTTTGTGGCTTTGTTTACTCCAAGGGTGAAGAAGGACTAATGTATATTAAAAAACTTAAAGACAGATTTGTTAGCTTGTTCAAACATCCCTCCCAAGCACTATGTTAGTCAGGCAAACCTAGTGAACGAAAAAAAAACAACAGACAAACTATTTAAGTAGGTAATTATCACACATGCATCTCATAATTGTATCAAAAGTGTAAGGAGTGATGGGTCCAATTGCTGTGGGGTTATTAAATAAGGCGGAGTAATGAAAGGGGATACTTATGATACAGAAAAGGTTTACAGTCTCCAGACTTCTCGATGATCAGCAGGGGAGTCGTACCACTGGTCGGGCACGAGGTGGAAATTACGCTCCATCTGATCGAGCAGACGCTCCCGATAGTCCACAGGCATGATGATGGTGGGCATGGGACCTTGCACACTGGTCAATGTCTGCTTCACAAACATCTCCAGCCGCTTGTTCAGTGTAAATTTACGCAGATAGTCGATTATGCCCACCACCAGTAGACCCGTCCTCCGATCCGTGCCCACCAGTAGAGAGTAGTCCATTATGAAGAGATCGGCCAAAAATTGGGTGTCCATGCTGAGACAGTGCATCAGAGCGTTCTAGGTGAAGTGAAGTCGCATTTTCCATAAACTTTTCAAAGTCAACAATAGGTGGCACCGGTTGAGTCTTCACCAAGGGAAACCAAATGTTAGGAAGGCTAAGCAAAAAAGTTATTTTCTTGAAGACGTAGATATTTCACTCCTGACAACGAGGATGGAGTGAAGCGGTATTCCCCTCACCTACCTTCTCAACGGTCGACTTTATGGCATACAGCATGAGCCTTCGCCTTTTCTTACAAGAGTACGAATAGAACTTTCATCCGGTTAACTCACCCAATAGGCTTAGGCGCTGCCGGGAAAGCTTTTCTTACGTGAGTTTCAGTTGTATAGCATTGCAAAGATAGATCTTAGCAATATCTGTTTGACCTTCAGCAATTGATCAATCTCCAGTGAAAAATTCCGGAAACCAACACCCACACACACCCCCCAAGAATAGTCCTGTGGCGGCGATGAGGCTGGCATTCAGCAACACTTTTACAGTTCCGCTATGCATTGAGTGTGTACGTTGTAATGATAGGCGATAAACAAAGTAATCAAAGATCAGTGAGTCGTACCTTTGAGTGTAACCGCAGGTAGATGGGATTCTCCAGGGACTCATTGATGAAATTCTGGTCCAACAGCACAGGCACCCGCGCAACTGTAGCCTCCTCACCCCAAGTGCCCCGCGGCACAGCATCTGAAGTGTTGGCAGTGGCAGCAGAGGTGGAGGTGGTGGCGGTAGTGGCTGACGTGACCTCAACCGTAGGGCTCTCCGTGTTTGCGATAAGTCGACCACGCAGACTGCCCTTCAAGTCGTAGATGTGCGTAATACCAGGACGGTTGTGGAAGAGGTTCTCCATCACCAGCACGTCCAATCGACGTGCATCACCAGTAATGGAGTTTTTGTAATCAATGTGGAATATGCCAAAGATGCGTGCGAGGAGAGAGAGACGCTGAAACAAAGTACCTTCATCTCATTCATCAAGTTATTCCATTACAAATTTGAAATGACCCAAAAATGCTAGTTTTGAACGGGCGACTATCGTGATTACACTGGACATGAAGAGGGTCAGACGCACCTGCATAGAAGCAGCGGAAATGAGGTAGTCAAAGTACTGCTTCTTGACATCATGGAAGGTCTTCATTTCAATGCTTGACACTTCCTTCACCACAAAACGCTCATCTACAATAATTTAAAGAGAAAGCAAAAGTAGAGACGAAGATACCAGAATGCTCTATTGACGAGGCTTTCACTTTCCCTCACGTAGATTGCATTAAAACGCACCGTGGGTTTTCATGAAACACGACCCAGACTTTCCACCCTGGGCATCCCAATTGCGACATCGTGAAAGCGAACGAATGAAACTGTAATAATGAAAGACAAGTTTGCAGGAAAAAAGTAACCCCATGAGGAGTAATGCTGCAATTGGTGTGTGTGCGGTGCCCAACTCACGCCATCTCGCCTTGGGGTAGAACCAGTTTTCGCAATTGATAAAACTCCTCCGCATAGTAGATTCGACAAAAGAAGGTGGTAGATGCATCCGCAAACTCTGGGAAACAACAAAACGAATCTGTTAAAGTGGCGACATAAGGTAGAATTTAAGTATTCCATGAGGAAGTGATAGACGTACGGATCTCGATGTGTGGATCGGTGAGGGCAGTACTGCATGTCTTGACCGATTTAATATCGTCCGATACACTGGTGCCGAGTTCTACCTCACCATTTGCATTGTCTGTTGCTTCCTCTGGCGGTCGAACAGAACAATCACTCTCCTCTAGCAAAGATAAATGCGGTGATTACTACAAAGTGCGCAATGCTTAACATGAGCTTCGGATCTCCGCATAACCGACCTACACAACAGTAGCACAAAGCTCTATTTATGAAAGGCAAGAGCTTCGCAGCTCTTTCCATGTTTCCTGCGATTTTGCTGGTCTACGGGGTCTAGTCTAAAGCTTTACCTAGAATTGCACGCCTTACAGCATCCTTATGGTTAACTCAAGCACCATACTTATTTGTAAAATACTCAATACTTGAAATTGAAACAAAAGTGGTTGAGTTACTTCTCTTCAAGCCGACGGAACTTGAAGCCCCAGTTAGACGTTTCTCCTCCGTACCAGTGACCTGGAGTTCAAAGGATCTGTAGGCATAACAAAGCATTATTAAGTGAGCATCAGCGCACAAGTACGGCAAGTAGTAACATGCCTATTAGGTGGTGTAGTAGTAGTTGTGGTTTCGGTGGTACTGGCCACCTGTAGGACGAGGCATGCAAGTGCTCGAGCAAGATGATCACACCGACTCACGCGAGCCCATAGGCGATGATGGAGGTGATCTCCTGATCCGAAATGTATACGTCTGGGGTTGTCTCGAGGATGGAAACCTTGGACAGTTCTTCAACCACCTTCTCATTAGCACACAGTCTCGGTGTGGTGTCAGGAGCCTCAAAATGTCCACTTTCCACATGCTGAGCCGGCGGTTGCAGAGCCAGAGCGAGAAGCAGAGGGGTGCGGCAATTGGGTGGGGGGATTTGGGGGTGCTCGCTGGGAGTCCAAGGCTCGGGGCAGACCTTGTGCTCACTGCTGCCTGGCAGTATGGCCGTAAAGATCCGTTTCACAGTCTCAACTTTGGTTGCTGTAGCTCTGTTCGCCAGTAGGAAATCAAGCAGGGTGTAGGGAATGGTGCCTGTCATGGAGGAGCCTTCGCCAATATCTTTACGCGAAGCGCCAACACTGTCCGTCGTTTCTACGCCATGTAATGCCCAAAACGATTTCATGCAAGTGGGAAGACATTTCACGTCAATCAATTTTATCCAAACTTTAGCACTTATATGGGCATGATTAGCTGGGGAAAGGAATACAGATATTTTGATAATCACTAAGGGTCGAAGACCGATAAAATATAAATTCGAGAGATGGAACCGTAGATAGGTTAAAACAGGTATGACCTTTGAAATCTACCTAAATAATCTAGCAAAAGCAGCTCAAAACAACTTGATTCATTTTACTGTTTCGCCGATCGCAGTATAAAACAATTAGCTAGCCAGAACCAAAGGCGATGAGAGTAGCGAGCCTAGTGGCTAACTCACCAGTATCGTCCATGGCCAGGTCCAAATTGGAGGACGAAGGAGATGTCTCCGAAAATGGCTCAGAAATTTGTGACCTTCCACCTCCAGCATCAATGGATACATCGGTCGAGGCTTGAGGAGGAGGACGGTGTTTACGTTGCTTGCTCTGTGCTTTCTCCAACATCCTCATCGTTGAATTGTACTGGCAGATGCTGCAGGCAAAGGAACCGCTCTGAGATGTTAAAGTAGATGGAGGTACAAAAAGAAATTCACAATAAATAAACTCACCGAGCGTTCCAGTCATTGGCGAAATTGAATAACCATCGCTTTATAAGGTACATCAGAGCAAATGTCAACGTGATTTTCTCTTCTATAATGGGAGGCCAAAAAGATGCAATGCGCACAGGTGAGGGGAATACACAACTTCACCTCCACACTAACCCCGTGGATCTCGGAAATAGACTCTATGACTCTGACCCTTTCATAATTTTGTCTTGTAAAACTAAAATGCATCGTTATTTTAATTCATCAGGTACAATCAACATTGAAGAAATGCAATCGAACCATATGAAAATGCAGCAAGCCTTGACATCCACAGTGGTTGGCATTCAATGCCAGAGGAGATAGTACGGTCGGTGGCCGACTCCTCGACCAGATTTCTATCGGTGGATGGAGTGGAAGTGGGTGGGGCTTGCACATCTCTCAGCTGCAAGGAGGGACGTGGTTTCGAGAGATTATCAAAGAGAAAGGAGAGCAACTCCACGCGTGATTTGATCCCGGTTTCGGTGCACTCAGACTAAGAGGTTAAAAAGCAGAAAATCGGAGACAGGGCAGATGCTACCGTCACCAAAAATCTGACTGAAAGTTGTCCGAGCGCCTACATTTAGAGTCTCTTCAAACACTTCCAGCAAATGTGTTAAAATCTCGCATTGTCGATCATTCCACAGATTCATCAAATGTTGTTTTACCATCATTGTAAGTTCGTAGAATCTTAAAAGAAAAAAACGTGTGTGTATATCTGATTAACTACAAAACTAGGACAAACAAACGTAAAAAATACTTTGAAAAGCAGAGTGAAGACCGCTATATGATGGAGTCTACGTAGTGATACAAAATCTTACTTTTTCAAGGTTGCGTGAACTTCAACTTCGAGGAAGTCGGGCATTTCAAGAGGCTCTATCACAGCATCTGCTTTATTCACCAACTTGGAATTCCCCTGCTTACTGATTCCGCTTGCGTCAGGTACTACCAGAGACGACTCGGAGGGTGCCCTTTGCGTGATTGGCGGCATACAGACCTCAAAGATCACTATCGGGTGATAGCTAAGAAGTTGTGAAAGAATATTTGAGCCTCAAGCATTCTAAACCGGTATTTCGATTGAGCCCATGAATAATAATGTCTAATTACTGCCCGATCATACGCAATGGTTTGCACCTGTATGTTAAACGAAAGGGGCAGATATCGATGAGGGCTACGAACTTACCAGAAGGTAGCCTGTACTCGACCCAAACTGAAGCAGTGGCTCAGACTCTTAGCAGAACAGCAAAGAGGTCCGTTGATTGAGGACTTGTGAGTCAGACAAGATGGTGAGTTGATGAGGAAATCTATGAATTTCATGAAGGAGAGGTGCCAGGTTAGAAGAGACATAAGTCGTGCCTGTGACGTCTGCTTGCAGGCCGAGCAGTAGGACCACATCACGATTGGTGTTGAAGCATTGGTAGAATGTGTCAAATGTATCGGTTCTACCGTCTGTAGAGTAAGTTTCACTGAACCAGTAGTTTGGGTGAAATGCTGTACATGATCCAACATTGGAGTGTTGCACTCTGGATTCAGGCAGCTCTGATTCCTATAGCAGCGATACAGACAAGCTCAAATTACATCTATCATGCACACCTTTTTAGATTTTGAGAGTTGAAGAAGAAAGTGGTAGAGAGCAACGTACTGACATACTAACGCACATAAACAACTGAATGAATGGGTAAATCCCACTACCACCAAAAATGGCAGATTATGAGCATGATCCAGAGATCTGATACAAGAAGCTGAGGGCAACCTGGGTGGACATAAACTGGTGCTGCACAAGCTCAGGTATAGCAGTGTAGAGACCCACCTGAAACAGAAGTGTTCGAGAAAGGCACCTAGGGGCAGATCATTGCTCCCATATACGTCAATGCCCATGATCCACGACGGGAGGCAGGGATCAGGACAGATAACAGAGGTGAGAGAGAAGACACTGCGCAGAACATGCATTAGGGTGTGCGAGCGAGCGTCGCGAATGCTTCGGCTAAGGCGCTTGTTTACATGCTACAGGTCAACAACAGAAACGACGATGATGACGTTTTTAAACAGGGCAAAAAAGCGCATCAGAACTGCTGATATTCAGGCTAATTCAGCCTTCCTACAGCACGATTGCTACAAACTATCTATATAGACGTATCGTTCAAGCCATTTAGCAATAAACTGCTAGTCGTCATTTAATCATGAAAAATGAGATGAAAGGCTATCGAAAACGACTAGTTTAAAGGTTAAAATAGGAATCCCGATTATGAATACCTGCAAATTTCCTGTCAAAAAGGTGCGCAATTTTTCTACAACATACTGTCTATCATATTTAAACTACGTTTCTCCACTTCGGGTTTCATTTTTCCATCCTTTTTTTCTCTACCTAACCCGCACGCTTTATAGGCGGCAGAGATGCCTCCGGAAGCGAAATTAATCCATGGAAAAAGCGTCCGATGATGCTGGTTTGACTAAACTAATCACTAATTTAAAAAAGTTGATCAGGACGCTCCACGCCCCAAAAGTATTGTTTCTTTTCAGCGTTAATCGCGAAATCCCCAATTTCACTCAATTAATGTGAATTCTTCATCTGTTTATTTGACTAAATAAACCAGACGGCTGCTCACATAATGAAGTACCAGGGAGGCGGACCTAGCACTCTTGAGTGGTGGGGTGGACTGATTAGGCCTAAAACGCGATTTAACAGGAGCCTGGCATTACGAGATTACAAAGCAATTATGCAAAATGCAGCCCACCTTAACAGCCGGCCTTGAAGAGAGAGAGGGAGTCTTAGTTGCTTTTTTAGATCGACTAGCATTTGCTGCGATGATTCTGCCCATTCCTGTCCACCTGCGCAAAATCATCGACTCCTTCTCGTCCTCGGAGCAAAGACGATCTGGTGCAGAGAGAGATGACGATGAGTCCTGTTGAGGCAGGGTATACATCGAGGGTGGTTTTTTGCTGGCGTAAATCTTTGCTCGCATCACAACCGCCTTCTGCTTTAACGAATCGTTCAGACGCCTCTTATCCGGCCAATCGACAAGGTAGAAGTAGAAATCGAAGAGGGGGATGCGACGTCCTTCGACACTTGCCAGGAAGGGGAGCTTGGTTGTAACTAAGGGGGAGAGGTTAAAGAGACGTCCACAAAGATGACGCGCCAGGGAGGAAGAATAGGAGTCGTCTGATTCACAGCTGTTGAGAGTCTGAAACGCAGTGAAACATTATGCTGAGCCAGGATTCCAGGGAAACCCTTTTTGAGTAAATATACGGATAAGAACTGATGCCAAACAACAAAACCCAATTTTAAGGTATGATGGAGAACAAATTCAAGTGAGAGAGTTATGTGCCTGTTAAAGGCATGTCCAAAACGACAATCACTTCCAAATCAGAAAATGCGAAGACATACCGAGGTACCAAAAGGATCACCAGTGAGCACGATTTGTGCGTCGTTCAAATAAGCCGTCTCCAAACGCGCATTGAAACAGCTCAAGAGGGCTAATTTGAGGCAGCGCTTTGCTAATTTTAAAGTGGCCAAGTCTGGACCTCGTAAAAAGACGGAGTAGGTGGGCATGCGGGTGATTTTGCCCTCAGGTCCCTTCTTCACATCTTCCTCTTTACTGATGTTAGGTACTAGGTTTAGGCCGGGAACGTGGAACCAACTCACAGGCGGCGTTGTGTCTAATGCGGGTAGATCAGTGAAGCTGAATATGCAAACGGGTTTTCTAGTACCTATACGAAAGAAGAGAACGCCATACTAGTATTCTATTAGAGTTAATAGGCATAAAGCATTGCATTTGACTCACCGTTGGGTTGGGGTAGGGTCAATAATTTATACCATCGACAGGCGCCGACAGGAGATGTAGGATGCTTGGGAGAGACATCATAGGAACCACTCAGAAAGGCATCAGTTGAGGCTATTATCTCGGCTCCCGTTGCTGAAGCTAACCGAGCCAATACTGGCTGTAAAAAGTGTGTACAAGTTAGTAGATGGCGATATCGCCATTGTGTGAATGCCTTCATCCTTTATTTACCCTTTTCACATTGCAAAAAATTGCAATTCCCGACTTGACAAGCATATTTAGCGCAATATTCGCAATTCCGCCACCTGTAATGAGTACAGTTGGTCGGAAGGAGAGGATTTTGGTGACACAATTCCCTAAATACTCCTCCTCCTAAAGGCGATACATGAAGAAGAGGATCACAATCACTGCTTACTTGAGCGGCATAAGACTCAAGCCATGTTCTTTTATAAATATTCCTTTCATATGTAACAGATGAAGCCAGAATAAGGATTCTTGGAAGGTAAAGTTGTGTTGGCAGGTGGCTGTGGATCAAATGGCCGGTTAAAGCAACACCGTTTAAAATTTGACATGATTCGTCTGCACCAACAACCTTAGAGCAAGAAAAGAGGTTAAACTGCATATTTACATATGTTCAAAAAATGTGCGATATTTTACATGTTCTAATATTCATAGTGAAGTAAAGAATGGATAAATTAATAAATTAACTATTATATCGTAAATACGTTGTTAACTTCAAATCAAAATAATACAACGTCAAGGAAGGAGTTGGGGGGGCCTGAAAACTGACCTTTTTAACATGGATAAACCGCAAAACGCTCATGGGAGAATATTTAGGGGGGCAGAATTCTTGTAACATCATATTGTCAATCAGCGAACACTGTTGACTGGGGTTGAAGGAGGGTGAGCCATTGCGACGATTTTGCACATTTTTAAGCAGGACGCTCCGAAGGTTTAACTCCACGTCATCACATAGCATACGCACAGTCGTAAACATAAGTGCATTCCAATCAGGCGATAAATAATGGTCCCGCGTCTCCTGTCTGATTAATCTCTCCAAGTAATGCGCGTAGACATCTCTGAGATAAAGGCGCCATTAAATTCATTCATACCAACTATACCGTTAAATACAGTAGTACTCACCCCGGTTCAACAGAAATCCTCTGAGGAGGTGCCGATTCTATTCGAGATTGCGGTTCATCGCTATCAGTTCCTGCCTGACCCAAACTCTCTGGTAGAGGTATAACCATGACGACAGAGGTCGAATCCGCAGACTCTTTATGAGAAGAGACTTCCTTGATTTTCGAAAGCGCAACCGACTCAGTCACCAAGGTGCTGCGTCTAAAGAGATGCCTGAGAGCGTCGAAACCACTACCAACCGACTGCACTCGCCCTGACAACCGTGGACTATCGTCCATCTGACACTAAAATTAAAAAAACCTACCAAATTTTCCAGGACTAATTTCATTTAACGCCCTTATATTAACTTATTCGATTTTTTCGTTAATTACGGCTATGTAAACAACCATTAAACCAGCAATGCGGAAGCAGATAAAAGCGCACAGGAATAAAGGCATCACTTATTAAAAGTCCATTGAATTTACCATGAACTTCCCTAATTTCTAAACAGGATTTGCATAGTATCAGGCAATTACGGGTTTTATTTCTCACTTTGGTGCCAGTGACAAAAAAATGTGGTGCAGAAAAAAACACACCCCTAAATCGGTACAAAATCAACAAATCTCACCTCCTCGAGTATTCGATAGAGCTGGGAACCATCGACAAACTTTCCCAGAGGGCCTATGTTACCCAGGGGTTTAAGGAAAGAGGCTTTCGTGTAGGCCTCACAAAGGTCACAAGCTCTCTCGCTAAAGAAAACCAATGTGAAGTGATTGAAACACTGAGGGGGCAAACGTATGAAACGTATGAACTCACCGTGATTCGAGTCTACCACCTGAGCTCGAGACAAGCCAATCAACAATTTGGCGTCCGGATGAGCACCGGTCCGACCCAACAATGACAGTTTCCAGGGGAATCGTTTTTTGGCAAGCCGGCGAAGAAGTGGCCCGAGAACCCTGAGCATCACCACTAAAGGATCGCCGCGAGAGTGTCATGTTCTTGGCGAAGAACGAGAGAGCTGATGATTTCAAGTCGACACTTGTTTGGTCCAAGGAATTTGAGCATGTCATCCTGAACCAAAGCGCGAAAAATGTCTGAATATCAGGCAACGATTGTCGACCATCAACAGAGATCGAACTGGCTGGTTTGCGGGGGGTGGAAAGACTGTCGTCGACTACAGGAAAGAGGTTGGCAATCTGCGGGCTTTGGTAGCTGCACTGCGCGTGCCAGGTTCGAAAACCACTTTCAGGACAAGCAAAAACTGGTGAAGGGTCTACTTCTGATCGAATAGAGGGAAATATTTGCTCTGGTGAATCAATCAATGATTTTTCAGCATCAAGTGAGACCTTTGAGTCCATTTGATGTTCTTGCTCGGTAGGTGCGAGTACGCTTTCCTCCGGTTTACCAAAGTTTTTGGCAATCATTTCATGGTTCACCGCACAAAACCCACAGGCACGCTGCAGTCCAGAATATCCAATACTGGAGCCGTCACGAAGCTAAGCAATTGTAGCATGAGAGTCGGAAGAAAAAAGAACCATACATGGGCGCTACAACGGGAACAGAATATCCGACCACAGAACCTGCAGTGGTGCCGCCTTTTAAGTGTAGTGAACTTCCGACCGCACTCAAAGCATTCTTGGCAGTGACTATCAGGAATCCAGTGATTCCTATTTTGCGGAACCGTAGAGGACCCGGGAGAATTGCGTGAAGATAAGGCCGTCGATTGACTAGCTTCCTGTGAATCAACTTCGGTCCCCTAAAAAAAACAAGACATTCAATCAGAAGTTACCCGAAGAAAAACACGTTAAATTGGTCTGTAATATGGATAAATCCCAGGCCAATGAAAGTAATGAGGAGGCATATTTTCAAGTTTTTATGGTTAAATGTAGTCAAACATGCCGCTGACTGATTCAAATCTGCACTGAACAGAGGAGTACGCACATTCACTGTATCTAGTTCCAAATTACCAGCATACAAATTACACAAACCCCGAAAATATTTAATGAAGCCCTCCAACATTCCAATAGCGAAAGCAAAATGTGGTACCAGGATTTGAAGGGCCGCCTCAGAATAAGGCGGTAATTACGGAGCTTAATGGGAATGGTTATATTAGAGCAAAAATAACGGCTAACACAGCTATATCTACGTAAGCGCTATCAAGGCATAAGCGCATTTTAGATTCGATAGCGTGTTTTAACCCATTTTAAGGCATTTCATTACTTTAAAAAATTATCATTGAAATACAGTGAAATAAAAATCTCGGTGATTTTGGCGCTCAAGACTCCTTTCCGAAACTGAAAAAAAGATCAGCAATCATCACAAAGTTGCTCCTTGAATTGTCGCAATCAACCATGTTTAGGTTTAGCTTGACATTAAACTCATGACATTGACCCCTCGAAGGTAATTTTTTAGGAGGAAGATTAATTATTTGAAAACGATGCTTTTTGTTTAAAGTAACTCGTTAAGCCTTACCGGGTTTTCTAAGTGGGGCCTTAAGCCGATTTTCCCTTTGTGGGTTTTGGGACGTGGTGTTTATTGTAGCTACAAGCTGCAGTAACGGATCCCCCTTTCCTATTATGTGATCGTGTGACTCATTCATTGTGAGTTCCTACGCATGCCTTATGTGAATAGGTTTCTCTGACTGTGCACTGTCAATCTTCTTTTCCCTTAGCTAACTTGTCGTGGTTTCCTTTTCTCACTACCTACCTACCCTATTTTCAGCATTACGATCCAATGAGTAAAGTTGTAAATCTTGATGATATCCCGGCTCAGTGCCTCGGTGAAACCGGCCCATTAAGCAACAGACCCCCTACTGAACAGGAATTAAAGGATTCCGTTGCTCTCGAGGAGACACTTGCGCAAATGAACATATTTGAAACACAAGAAGAGATTCATCAAAGGCGTGAAGCTTTAATAAAACTGCAAGAGATCTCAAATCACTGGATCTACAAGAAGGCCCTGGAACAAAATCTTCCTGAACATAATGCGAGCTCTACGACGGGGAAAATTTTCACTTTTGGGTCGTACCGCTTGGGTGTTAACTTCATAGGTGCTGACATCGACGCCTTGTTGGTGGTTCCACGATTTGTTACCAGGGAGGAGTTTTTTACTGACTTTCAAACAGTACTTGCTGAAGAGGAATCTGTTGAAGATTTACAGGCTGTACAAGATGCATATGTGCCTCTTTTAAAGATGAAGTTTATGGGTGTCGAGATCGACCTGCTTTTTGCTCAGGTGGACTTGATGTCAGTGCGAAGTGACTTCAACCTCTCCGATAATTCAGAACAATTACTTCGTAATATGGATGAAAGGGACGTTCGTAGTGTTAACGGAGTTCGCGTCACGGAGGACATGCTGAATCTTGTCTACCCAAAAGATGTTTTTAAAACTGCATTGAAGGTTTGATTGGTGCTTAGCTTTTAGTGCTTGTACATTAGGTCATTCGACTTTGGGCCAAACGAAAAAATATCTACTCGAACGCTATTGGTTTTTTGGGAGGCGTCAGCTGGGCAATACTAACTTGCCGGATATGTCAGCTTTATCCGTTTGCTCCGCCCTCTACAATCGTTCATCTCTTTTTCATCATCTACAGTCAGTGGCCATGGCCGAAGCCAGTTCGACTTCGTGAATCAGAATACATTCCTTCCTTGAATTTGCCTGTCTGGGACCCAAGGGTACGGTTTCACATCATTTCTAGGGTGAATGTTGATTTGATAATCGCTTTATTTTTTTTCCCTATAGCATAATCCCACAGACCAATACCATCTTATGCCAGTCCTAACTCCAAGTTACCCATCCCAAAATTCCACCTATAATGTTCAAAGGAGTAACCGAATCATCATCGATCGGGAAATCAAACATGGTGCGTCTGATTTCCTTAAACCTAGTTACTGTATTTATTTTTCTAGATTTGGTTTAAACCGTTGTTTGGTCGTGTGTGTCGTGAGACAAATATTAGACTAGAACTGTGTTCTAGTGACATGAATATTCACGCATCTTTGTGCGAATCAGACTTACAGAGCCATGGCTGTTGTACATTACTCAAAATTTCCTACCTTTGTTGAGTCGCTCCTTAGCCTGTTGTTTCCGTGCTAGCTCGGTACATTTGACTAGCAGGCCGCTTAAGAAATTTCACTCATTAATTCTTTACTCATCACTTAGGTCTCAGTATAGTAAAGGAAATACTTCTCCAGAAGCGTCCTTGGTCTGATCTCTTCGAGCCGGCCTTCTTTTTCACCTATCGACACTACGTGGTTGTCATCGTGACCGGTGAGGAGAAGCGGCCTTTCAAGGAGCGCTGCGGTTTGGTGGAGTCCCGATTGCGCGTATTAGTGAGCAGCGCGGAGAACAATCGCTATGTAAAGCTTGCACACGTCAACTGCCACTCCTACGGCAAGGGTCCCCTTGATGGAGATGTGCCCTTCGTGAAAAAGTGGTTCATCGGCATGGAGTTTGATCGGAATCCTGCCTCCTCTACTTCGCTCACCAATCACTCGTCTACTGCCACAGCAGCGGTCGCAGCATCAGCTACGTCTCAGTCCACTGATTTATCAGCTCCACCTGCAAAGCTCAATATTGATTTGAGCGATGTTATAAATTCTTTCGAAGTGGCAATTGATCGTGGAATGTCTGCTGATGCCATGACCACAACGGTGACAGTAAAATACGCCAAAAGGTGGGTACTAGCTAGCTTTTGCTAACATGTTCATTTATTTGTGGGCCTATTTTTTCTGCAAAATTCCGCCTCACCATTTTTAATGCCATGATCGATGGGTACCAATGCATTACAGGTCTCACCTGTCTCAACTCCTATCAGCCGAGGACATGGAGAGTATTAGGAAACAGTCAGCTGCACACGCAGTTGCTAATCATGGTATAGCGCGCCATGGTTCCACTCTCAGTCAAATGTCCTCTAATTCCCCTCGAAACTCCGATTCACCAAGTTCCACTATACCCTCTCCTCAAGTGTCCGGAACCGTCAGCACATCCTCTCCCCGCCCACCTTTGGCCTCTGACTCCAATTCCAAAGAGAAGGTCGATTCCGTAAGTTATTAAGTATTTTCACTGATCGAAGCGCACTTTTGCTCGCCACTTACTCAAATACCGTAGCCGACGCTAACTTCTCACGGGGAGTTTTGGAAAGACTCAATCCGTGACTTATTTTCAGGCAAGTTCCCATGGCTTCGAAGCCGTCAATAAACGCCGATCCTTGGAAGATAACTCGTCGTCTGCCTCCAACGGACAATCGAAAATGGCCATTGGTGCAGACAACGGTGGTAACGCGGACGGACGAGTTAGAGGGAATAAGGAGGGCGATGACGGTGTCGCAGTTCCCTTACCGGCTAAACGCAGCCGTCCCCTTTCCCCTGGCACTAATGGCTCTACTGCTAATACCTCCCCATCACAAACCCAACCTTCCACGCTTTATAGGGGGGCATCGTGACTCGGCTCAGAAGTTTGCGCTGACCTTAGATACTCTGTACATTATCTGTTCCCTCTTGGTATGCTCTTATGCTATTGTATTACCATATCTATCTTGTTTTCTAAGGTCGGACCTCTGAGGTCAACTGTATTTTGGTGAAGCCTACAAGATAATTGTCTTGTCATCACCAGAAAGTAACCGACTTGAATTACTGTAGCTTCATTTTCTGCATCTGCGATGAAACTGCCCTTATGAGAAATTGAGGCAGCTAACGGGGCCCTTGGTCAATTTTGTTTTGTAGTTATTCGTCGACGTATGGGATCTACGCTGTTTCAACTAAAGGCAAGTTTTTGTACACTCACAACGGGTGTACATGTTTTTGTGTGTGTAACGTGGTATTCAATTCGTTTTAGCCTCATCCCCTTCTCCCATGCGTTTCAGCCATTTTTCGCAGTACCACCTAATGTTTCACCATTTTCATTAATTCAAATGCCTTGAATGCGTAGAGTGCGAACGAAATTGTGATCGGCCCATTTATCAAACACTCGCACTCCATCCCACCATGCCTCCGCTTCTCAAAGCCATCGACTTCTCCTCTTTCGTAAGGTCGTATGATGCGATTTGTCACTTTGTATAGTCGTAAAATGTCTAAATATACTTCTTTATTCCAAGCTTCCCTTTTTTGCAGAGGTATTAGCGAGTATCAAGCTGGAAGTTAGATTGTATACAAGTCCTCATTTTTTTGTTTTAATACACATCCGCGCTTACTACCTGGATTAGTCAGATGCTTAACGATACATTGTGTAGGCAAGGCTAGACGTAGTATCCGTTATTATATTTCGGGACAGTTGCCCACATAAAAGGTGTCGTTAACTACGCTTGTTTTCCGTCAGCGGGTATGGTAATCGCGGTGCCATCCGGGTCGTTTAAACACCAACATTTGAATACATAAAAGCAGAAGAAGCGGGATTCACACCTCCAGGTAGTACGGATTTCGGGAGTGGTGATTTGAGTCCGGTGGATGTCTATAAATTATAGAGTAGGTCCGTGTAGGGCAGGCTACCTGTAACGTCCCACCATCGCGACGAGATCTTGAAGATCTATGCCCCATTGTATTGTTGATGTCCAAGGATTTTTCTTCTGGTTGCACACCCTAGAAGAGCATTTAGACCCAAATCGTAAGTACGGCTGAACTGTCCTAGGGCGCCCTGCTTCACTTTGCCATCGATGCTGGCCCCCGGCTTTCGTTAGAAGGGTTCGATCCCAAAGTCTAGTCTCCTCCAGTTGAATGCAGCACCCAATTCTTTCATGATATTCAAGGGCAGGAAGCTGTCGTGGTCGCTAAATTTGGGAGTTCAAGTATCTGGAAATGGTTCTTTTTCATCGTTCCTACACAAATGCTTTTTCAGTGCAATTTTGCCATAGGTTGGATACCGATTAAGGTCTGTCGTTCTCTCCGTTACCTGGATGTTCAGTGATGGAGCGGGAATCAACACGATCCGGATCATCAACGTACCTACGGTCATCTTTACTGTTACACATCCGTGGAGTAACAAATTTTCGTTCACGGGAAAGTTTGCGAACACACTACGCGATGTCTGGACTGCCCTGTGGTATTTGCATCTGTGGAGTTCAAAGCCTCGATCTGATTGATGCAAAACACATCGACTGAAAGAAGTTAATACCAGGGGAATCAAGGTGTTGGCAGACAAGTAATGACTACCGTTAGCATAGCTTACATGTGAGCCGTAAAATACGAGTTCAGTGAAGGAATGCAACTCGTCTGTTTACACCAAAAAAGCAGAAGTCAAGGACAATACTCCGAATCTGAGGTATCCGATTCACTGTCGGAATAGTCTTCATCCTCCTCTTCTCTGATGAAGTTCTCCTCCGGGGTCAAGGTATTGCATATCTTTTCAAATTGTCGAACATCCTTTGCACTAAAAGCTCTACCTTCCACGCGTTCCCCCTCCGGTTCATCGTGATACTCAAGCCAATATGAAAATTGTTCGGGAGAACAAGTCAGCAGCTGTCCAACAATGTAGTCTTGAGATTCTTCATCACGAGTGGTTATGAAAGGAGAGGAAGAGAGACAATGAGATCTATTCATAGAAAGGGAGATACATTTGAATGTACACATTTACCCGACTAGAGCCCTTCTGCAAAGGAAAGGAGACGCATAACTGGAATGAATTTAGAATCCACGTATACATGCGCCTAAATTCACAAACGTCTCCTACACATATGTAGAATGGACAGCGAGACTCTAGCTGTTCCCTTCCCAACAAAACTACATAAGCCGCCCAATCCCTAGTTATGGTTGTCCTGGCTGCTTCTCAAGGCTCAGAGCTTAGGCCTCGGAACTCAGGGTTCGGAAAGGCCTTCTTCTTGCACCCCTATTTGCGTCATGTCGTAGCAAGTAGACAGATCCGCGCCGTTCCAATTGTTTGGTCTTCAGCAAACGATTCCTAGTGGACGATCGCATCTGCATGCACACACACACACACACAGACATACAGAGTAAGGATGGTCCTGTGGAGACGCCGTGTTGCATGTCTTTGACGTGTGCGCTGGTGTGAGCGGTGAGCGGACCACACTTGGAGAAAAGCACAGCAACACAAAATCCATTCCTCCTCACAAGTCAGTCAGTCAGTGAAGAACAAGTCGACAGCTTTTCAGACCTATTTCTACTCCCTTGCTAATGTACGTCTAGTCATTTACTTTGTTGTTTTAACGTCCAGTGCAAGAACATAGCCTCTGCTTCAAGATTTACACTAGTTTAAGACCGATTTGCAAAATAAACAAGCTAAAATCGCCTCATTCCTCTCATCGGGTTCAAAGTAGAAGAAACCACAAAAAGGTGCATCGTGCCGGTAAACTATCACTGCGGAACACAAACAGTTGCGTATATTATCAAACTCTTACATGTTAGAACCAGACATTACACCGACCCAGTGTGAAGAGAGTTCCAACTTCCAGTTACCTGATAGGTAGCACCTTTACTTTTTTCACTCCAAGTAGCACCTCTAAGCCAACACACAACGACTACTTGGCGGTTGTTCAAATCAGAAAAGGTCGAGTGATTCAGCATTGTGCAACAGCCCCCAATTTTCGTTAAGCCGAAAACTCAGGTCAGGTTTTAACCGCATAGTGGAAGTAAACCACAAATTTGTGTGCATAGAGGTCCGGGTAAACTTGTTAAGGAGCAAAAGTGGATAGTTCTGCCTATCAGTGCTGCATCATAGCAGCGTTGAATGATACACTTCCACTCAGACCCTCCCAGTTTCCCGCTAAACAATTGGCAATCCGATGACACAAAACCTTTCTGTACATCTAAAGGTAAAGCGTTTTCGGCTTCAGCGTCTTATAACGTTTTTTTTTCAGAGATAACTCACTCTGAGCAGAATGTGGGAGAGAAGGTGGCCATTGATTGGCGAGGAGAAGAAGAAGGTGTCGTGTGACGGTGCGCCGGAGGGGTAATCGCCAAGCCGGACAGAAAACAAGACGCAGACGCGTGGAATGACGTGTGTGATGAACACTTCGTGGAGTTGCTGTTGCTCCCGCCATCTCTCCTGAACCCTCCAGACCCATAACACGTGTCAAGTAGTCATGTGTCGTTTGCAAGTCCTCTCGACTCCGAGTCAAGACGGCTGCGTGGACAAGAGCCACTTGTAAATTCACCAGCCAGACGATAAAACCACATAGAACAGGAACTTACATGGGTATTTTTTCACAAGGGAACTAAGATCCTTTTTAGTAAGGAGTATGTTCAGTGTGGAGAGAGCAGTCAGTAGTCGAGTTTGATCGTCCTCCTTCATAATCGCCGCAGTGAATAAACTCGGACATCGACGAATCACACGATAAGGATTCTTCACCCCGAACCTCATCAGCGGATTTATCACCTGAGAGATAACAAAGTGCGGTTGAAGCAACCTGAGTCGTGCATCTAGCAAGCAGGAATCTGGACAGAAGTTCTCCAAATCCTGAGATAGAACGAGATGAAGCAGGTCGACAACAGACGCGGCGCTTAGTTTAGCCACCTCGAGAAGAGGTTTAACTATCATTCTGTCAAAATCTGGATGCATCTTCGATATCTGGGCAAAGACGGCGGCTTCTGCAGGTTGATCTAGAAGACTCTTCATCCGGGAGTCATCCAGTAGTTTCGAAGTCGGTGTTGCCACTCTCACACTGGCAAGCCTTTGAAATCCTCGGATTAGAAGGTTCTCAGCATTTTTGAATCCATGAAAACTGATGAAAGCCTGAAGATGGACGAAAGAGATTAGTAATAACGGCAGAATATTGACGTGAAAAGATCAGAAAAAAAGGTTCTTTGCAGCTGTATTTCAAAATCACGGGCTAATCATGGAAATGAATGTCGGGAATGGATTTCAGTTGTTCCCTTAGAGTAGTCGAGGGTTTGAGTTCAGCAATCCGTTGGGACATGATGACTGCAGCTCGCAGCACCTCGTCTGACTGGATGACAGGTTTGAGGAGGAGACCAAGGAGGACAATTGTCCACTCCACGGCCAAGGGACTGGCTGGATCGCGTTGGGAAGCATTGATTAGAGCCCAAAATATGTCGTGTGCATTAACGGTCACTTCAGTGCTATCTGTGGAGGAGACGCATTCGATATGCGTCACTCGTGGATATTCCACGAAGCTCGCAACCAATAGGGGTTGTGAATGCACCATAGACAAAAGGGAACGAATGAGATCCTGTTTTAGGTCCACTGCAAAACAGATACTTCTCGGTTGGGCAAAACTGAAAGTACCCTGGAAAAAAAGGAAATATACCGGAGGAAGGAAGTTTGTTCAAATATTGAAGTGTTGTTGTTGTTGCTGTGGGAATGTGGGTCAATGTCCATTCAATGTTTGCAAAAGAATCAGCGGTGCAACTACAAACATCTTGCATAGCTGTGTCGAACTACTGACGTTCTCTCTCTCGGAGAAGTGACAAAAAAACTATTCCTTTGTAGTTGCTCCACCTTACTTAAATTACTCAAATCAAGAATGTAATCCATAACGTGATTATCATCTGTCATTTGCACATAGTCAAGGTGATGAGATGGAGTTTGGGAACTAACCGGAAGCTTCGCAAATCTACTTTGTTTTCAAATCTAAAAGTGACAACTTACTCAAGTAATCTGTTGAAGCTGGACCTTCTCAAAATACACCACGGATATAAAGATTGGGATACTAATTTGACCTTTTGAAGGTTTATAGAAATCGGAAAATTGAGCTCTACATTGCTAGCTCAAAGTAATTGCGAACTCAGCCACGGATATCTCAATGTTACACTGATGCCTATCTCACATACCATTGTGTAACCTTGCCCACTTTCTCCAGCTAGCATCACTGCTCTGTGGCCGAGATTTTGACCTTCTTGATACGAATGAAATCAGGTACCAACGTCTAGGTGGTATATTTGTACTACCATGTCAGAAGAAAAAACTATACCAGACTATCTTCAACCCTTTTGGATGCTACTTAGAGTCATTACATTAGATCAGCAGGAAAAAAAATTGGACCACAATTTACCATGGAATCCATTAGGCTGGGAGCTTTTCGACCCACTCCGATCATCTTACGTGTGGCAAGATGAGCCTGTAACAGGGAGTCAACAATCACCATCAAATCACCAATGGTGAAGAGAAGGGCGGTTAACTGGTCCCTATTTGCCGCACCGGGTTGAGGTGTGTTAGTGCCCTCGATTGATGGGAGTAGATTGAGTGTCAAATATACGCCACCTCGTAGGATTGCAGACATTTGTTGACTATCGTCATCAGGCAGGGCCTGAATAAAGGAACACTTACTTATTTACAGTCAATAGTGAAGGTGGAAACGAGTGACTAGAAAGATCGGCTTCAATAATTTGTTCCACACACTGCTAACATAATTATCTGATGACCGAAAATTTCCGAACAGTTTCTAGCATGTCACTCCACAGTGACCTGATGTGACCTGTCACATGAGGTTGCTTCATTACTATGCGAAGCATGAATACGTTAATGAGGAAGCAATTCACAATGAGGCAGGCAAAATCGTGGTGGAAGCTGCTAAACAAATGGGTCCCATCCGCACACATTAGCAGATGGCGGCACTAAGTCCAAAATACTACCAACCTATCGTTCATTCATAGGAAGGAGGAAAATCTTGATGCAAAAGTGCTCACCACAGAAAGGAAATAGGATTTCAAATTGCATTCTTCCTCATGGCGTACTTTGAACGGTGACTTCAAAGCACAGTGCCTAAGGATGCCTATCATCATGTCTATCCATAACTCCTTTGAGGCTTTTATCCCAGGCAGGCAGAAGTTCCCACACAACTCTGCTAATTTCTTCATTGATGGAGTCTCCAACCCCTCTGACTGTTCCTCGTACTCATGGAGAAGTAGAATAGTACCCAAAGCGGCCGACAACTCTATAGCTCGTTCCTGTCGTCGAGTTTTGTGTTTCCAGTACTCCTCACTCGGAGGGAGGGTACAGAGTGCACTGATGAGGGAAATGCAGTGATCGAACCAGGTCTGCATCAGTTGAACACTCTCTCCCCCATTTACACTGATAACCTTCATAGCACGCACTGCTAGAAGGAGGAACTTTGTGAAGTCAGATGGAATGCCAAACTGTTGCACGGACGTAATCAAAGTAGTGATTAAGATGAAGGCGTAGCAACCTATTCTGACCCGCCACAGTGGCAATGAGTTGAGTGAGTTGAGAGAGAAGACCCAATCGCGGACAGCCTCATTGTAGACAAGAGAGGCAATAAGTGCGGCTGTGACCTCACCAGAGACGTGCATTTTGTGTTGCGCCATGTGAGAGAGGCAGTTCACCAAGCATTGAATCAACACAGACAGTACGAGATGAAATTGACCCTCCGTCTGATCTAGGAAACTTCTGGATTCGAGGTTGAGGAGGAATGAGAGAATGGAACTCAAAGCAATGAGGGTTTGTGTACAATTTTCCTGGTTGGCATCGAGTTCTTCTAGGGCGGACGGGTCAACGAAGACTGCCCGAAGAGCACGAAGATGGGAGACTAAGTATTCTACATCCTCATTTTTCCATGGGATTTGTCTGCAGGATTCTCCCAGAGAAACTATGAGTTCTAAGCGCTGCATCTGAAAAAGATATTGGAACAGTTGAATCGCATGTCCTTTGCGCAAAACAAGATCTTGGCACACAAATGGTCTCAGATCATCCACATCGCCACCACCTTGCCCACATTACATCTAAAGAATGCCTTAGGTGCAAATCCGACTGACAACTAATAGATTTCGTGACTCCACTTCAAGAACTAGCCAGAACCACTGAAGTTATCGTCTCGAGGCACATTTAACCTTTGTTATAGTGATATTCGAAAACAAGCTACAATCCACTAAAAACAATGCCTTGAAATCAGAAAAAATCCTCTTCCGAATGCCCAACCAACAATATTTCATTGAAGTCACCGTTGAGAGTAACAGAGGCGTAAATGGTCAGTGATCGGAGTTAACCTTTGCACTCCACCTGGTCGGAGGAAGGGAATCCCCTTATGAGCTAATTACACCAAATTGGTCACAAACATACGCAGAGCTAATAAAAAAAGACAACTTGAAATAGTGGCATTTATTTTTATAGTGCATAATATAATAATAACAAGTCCTGAACATACATACATATAGAGAGAGATTCAGTGCATACACGCAGTCTGCACCTAAACTGTGCATTTTCCAGTGGATCTCTCGGCCTCCTGCATATCATGCATGCCACCCTCCAGTAAAGGCAAGAAGGAAGGAAAGAAGGCGCATTCTAAGACCGAGGCCAGTTGTCAGACTAAAGAGGATGGATGGCGATAGGAAGAGACGGAGAGAGGAATAAAACGAATCCCTAATGTGAATACATATGTACACCGGATGAAATGCAAGGAGTGTGAGTGGTGAGGGGGGAAGGAGGAAAGAGAGAAAAAAAGCATTACTGCCTAGCTGAGGGGGAAGCTGCAGCAGGCACGAAGGCCAGACGGGGTCGTTTGGGCTCTAGCACGCTGACCAGTGCAGGAGAGTTGACCTGGCTTGGTGCTGGTGGATTCGATGCCAAGGTTGGGTTAGAAGAGACCGTGGATCGCGATAGCAGCCCACCACCAATCGGCATCTTCACGATGTTGGTAGCACCTGTTGGTAGCTCGGGGTCATTGCAAATCTGAATGATCATGCATTGACACATTGAAGTGATGGGACAATAGACACAGATGTTTTTTTATACTTACGATTGTGGTAGAACTGGAGAGACGATAGTTAGGTTGATGGAGATGTTGATGAGTATAATTTTGTAATTGGGTTCCAGAGAGCAGAGGAGTATAGGTGGTGTTGCCGGTCGCCGTAGTAACGGGGGTGGCTGGGGTGACGAGAGGAGTGTTTACAGGGAGGATGCGAACTGAACGACTTGAGGTTGATACTATCGGCAATGAAGTGGATGAATTGGAGGACAAATTTGTCGTAAGACTCACGTGAGGCGAACTCGGCACTGCCGAACTGGCGGTCACAAGACGATTTGTGTGACCTAAAATTAGAAGTCAAGTTCCCTCCTTCAAGCCAGGCGCTAAGCAAGGAGCTACTTCTTAAACCAATTAATCGCGACTACTATAATCAAACTTGGGATCTCATTCATTTCCAAATTCATTAGGAGCGAAATAGCCTGCGCCACGCAGGGTTACGGGCTTCGTCACTTAAAGCCGAAACGAGGCTCCAATAAGTGCGGGGTATATAACACGATAATTTAAGAGACAAAAACAAACCTCGATGAACAACAATCACATTTCCAGCAGTTGAGCCTGCAACTTGAGGCTGCTGCTGTTGAACAACAATAGAGTGTTGTTGCTGCAGCTGTTGGTGTTTTTTGGTATCAGCAAGGATACTGGAAGCAGAGAGCTGCGTAGTAGACGGGACACTTGGTTGGTAGCCAATAACAGGTGGGTAGTTTTTAACTATACGCGAGGCGTTTACAGATTGGGAGACGTAGGCAGTTGGACCAGTTGTGCCTGTCACCACTACAGTGGTCAAGCCTGGTGTTGTCGAGGTAACAGCTGTGGATGTTATTCGATTGTGTCCAGAAACGGAGATTGCCGGATTGATACTTTGAATCTTATTAATTTGAACGCCTAAGAAAAGTGAGGTACTATTGAGTAATCAGTAGCAGTTGCCGAGTCGTAAGGAACACTGGTCTAACAAGGTTTCGTTATTATGTAATCAAAGACAAGCAATTGAAGGAACACTCATATGAGGTGTTAATGCTGCAACTTTAAATAGCTTTACACCACTAAAAGCAAACTTGCTCCTACACGGTTCACACTAATGCGTGGGAAAATAAATACATCGCGTAACCCCAATAGATATTGAATTAATATTGATAAGCACATTGTAGAGGACAAAGCGGTACCATTTTATGATCTAAAACAAAGTGAATTATTGAAAAAGCGGGTCAAATGAGCGCAACAATACTCTGCATATTATGAGCGCAGATCATTCACCAAACTTAATTTGTAATTTAAACAGTAAAATGTTCTAGGTGAAATTTCGAGGACGAAATCATAACAAGTAACCCCTTTTAAAGGGAATTCTTAAGGAGCAAGGATGGGGTCGCAAGTAAACGTACTTTGAGAACTGTGTAACGGCCCTGAAGATGAAGTCGATATGTTGTTCTGACGAATAACAAAGTTGCGAGTTGAAATAAAGGGGACCACACCGTTTGTCGTGCTATCTGAAGTTGTGGCCGGCTTGGGTGTTTTAGTGACTAATTCAGACACTAAATTCGTCACTTGAAGGGATTCCGTAACAGAGGGAGACCTTTTGATACCCTTTACGTTTGCAAAAAGTATAGATCAATTAAATTTTTAATTCATAAAGGGGAAAAAGCACTAATGTTGAGATGCTTACAGAAATGCAGGTATGACTGATTGGTTTTGATTGAACTGTCGGCACGTTATGCGGGATGTCATCAGCATTGGATGGTATCGAAACTGATATGCGTTTGGAATTCGATTGTCCATAGTGTATAGTGCGCCTCATCGGTAGCTCAGTGATAAGACTGGTTTTTTCTTCAACCACACAGGAAATTGGATCGGATTTTGGTACCTCAGCTTCACACGTTATTTCCACAGCGGCCTCAGGCACCATGGTAGACACCGTATCTCCATCTTGAACAATAGTGTTTTCCAACAATGTTACTGATACTTTCGCCTCATTATTATCATTCTCCTTAAGATCCTGAGAACAAAAAAATGAACATTATGCTTCACACAAAATGGCGCCTGATCCGCTGACAAAGCAGCGTGTAATGATGAAAGCGTAAGATTTACAACTAATTGGGTTGTTTCGCAAAAGCCAAATTGATGCTAACTTAAAAATGTTACAAAATTGGGAGAGAAACCTACAGCTTCGATACGACTTGGTGATTTTACATTCTGGTGATTGGCATCGTTTCGTTCTCTGTCGTTTGTCGAATCCGTATGAACAACAGCTGTTTCAGCAGGCTGAGGCAACTGGTAGTTTAAGAAAGCCCACTTTTTTGCAACCGCATCGGCTTCAGGCAAGAAGGCCGTTTGCGGAACACCACGTTGCAAAATCGGTGCTATCCGACGTCCTTCAATAACCCAGTTTTCATCAGTGTCTTGGCCGCACACACTAGGAAAAAATAAGAGTTAAAAAAGACATACAACTTGGAAATGGTCGCTAATTCTTCATCATTTACAGCACGTCGCACTTCCGCCTTGTGGCGATCACAAGCTATGCTCAACAAACGGCGGAGGTCTTCAAGAAGTTTTCGTTTCTCTCCAGTTAAAAGACCTTGCGCCCGAAATGCAGTGACCACCTTTGCGTATGCTTCAACTTCGTGTCTTCGAAGAATACGCCGACAGTCAGTTTTCGAGTAGTCCACCAACATAGGCCATCTTATGCCATTGTGTTTGTTGTATGCAATATTTTCAACCATATTTTATTCAATTCATTAAAGATCCTGTAAGACACGATTTTAAATAAGACACTTGGGACAAAAACTGAATTTGGTCAAAAACAACGATATTTGATGACACCCCCCTACCTCAGATACTACCAAAACAATTTGACCGAAAAGCGAACTCATATAAAGCGGTATATTTCTCCCGAGGTAAAAACATTGTGGCAGTTATTGACGCTCCATACAGTACGCTGAATAAAAAAGATTTTAATAAATATTTTATTACAGTGTTGAAAAGCTTTACTAGAAAAACGCGTAGATTGAAAAAGTAAAGTCCAGTTGCATATTTCCTATTTCTAACATGCATTTCATGAATGCCAAATTCATTTAACCAGTGCATTTACAGTATTTTGCTATCTTAAATTATAATTCGTTACCGTTTATGGTGTGATTTACGCTAGCCTCTTATTTAGATATTAATTAAACAATTCTTATACATACTTTGTTTAGTTACCAATCTCATGTGTATGGGATTTAATTATGTCTATTCTGGAATTCAAAGTTAAAACATCTGTGTGATAAAAATGAGCTATCTCTGTTGCCGCAGCCTATACCTTTGCATAATACATGTCATTGTAAAAATATTATTTACACAAAGTACTACTGGAATATTTGGTGTATCAAAATATATTTTGTAGCAAGACTCTTATCTTCCTTGGTGCCGCTATAGTCCATATTATTCCAAGAGATGGTTATTCGCATACACAAGAAGGGGCTGGGAATACATTGTGGTGGCTCCTTGGTCGTATCGTCCAGTCGCTTTTGGTAAAGGACCACTTTGTGTCCTGGTCATTGCACCTTTGCTAGATAGGCTGCCCTTCGGACCATACTATTAGCCCCAACTCCTACTGCATGTTGAATACACATATTCTGCCAGAGTAATAAATCTTCTTTTGCCTTTGGGGAAAGCGCGGGGCGCTACCTTGGTGCAGCGGAAGGTAAGCCCCGTCTTAAAGGACACCTGCCCTAATTTACACCTCTAGGTGGTAAACCTTTACCGGAATGGGAGAATCTGTGACGACCCATAAAAAAGAGCTGAAAATGACGCTTATCTTCGGCAGCCATCCCCTCCCGTATTCTGCAGGAAAGCTACCAACAAATGGATCAAGACTAGACGTGAATCATCTTATAAAATTGTGTTATAGAGTTGCCTACTATACTCGTGTAAGGATATCGATAATGTAAACGTCGTGCTACCTCCTCCATTTCTCTACTAGCAGAGTAGAACCCAGATAGGTATGTCTGAGCAGCTATGAGGTGAGAACAAAGTGACAGTGAGGAATACAAGCAAGACCCTACACACATGAAATTGCTTTAAATCCAGCCTCATGTTTGGAAAATTTGCTTTTACACCAGTATTCCTACACCTAGCTATGGACACTCAAAATGGTTAGTACAATTCCCTTCCCTCAATCCAGTCCCCATACAGAACGAATCAAAAGGTCCGGTTGAGTTGTCAAGAGGAAGAAGTGATGTTGCGGTCAAGTATCGCTCCAGTTGCATAGAAATTTGATGGATGGTACACCTGGCTCGTGAGTGTTTTCTATCAACACTGATTACACTGTGATGGCTAACACAGGAGGTTGACCAAGGGAAGCGCCGGGGACAGAGCCTGAAAGTGGGGATGCTGTGTAATACATTGATGGTTTAGCTTTCTTTTTTTAATCAAAAGGGGCACTTTATGTCTTGAGATGCGTCTTGCTGAATTCATTGTAGCCGAGGCCCTGTTCTCGGTGTAAACCATCCTCTTTCTTCGTGTTCGTAGAATCATTCATCGATAAATAGACTTACGAAGGGAAACAAAATGTAAAACACCTTTAAGGAGCTAGTATTCTTCATTTAGTCCTACATACGGTCTGGCTCGTAGTTCAGTGCTGACCAGTCTCCTATCTGAGTTTTTATTAAGCCAGCAAAGAAATGAAGGAGGCACGGTTTGTGCACTCAATACAAATCTTCATATACAAATCGCAGAGACTTCGATGATGGAAGCATTCAAGTTGCTCAATTTAAAGTCACGTTATTCTTGTAGGGAACGAGATTAGCAAGGTTGCCAAAAATAGACCATATTTGGAAACTTTGTTGGTGATATTTAAAGATTTTATCCAATGACAGAAGATTTTCTTCTGTGACCCTAAGTTTTGTTGATCATTCATTGACACCAGATGGTTGTTCTTTTGAATTGGATGTGCTTGTCCACTGCCACCTTGTCGCCTTGATGCCATAATAAGCCACACCAGTACGGCGAATGAATTATTACCCGCATAAAAAGGGTATGGGTGGCTATTGGCAAGCCTTTCTGGTGTATACAGCTTGCGGAGGGTACGACAACCTCAGTGATTAAGCAAGCACTCAATCACTACAGTACAAGGTTTTGTGATTTGCCATTATCCACATATTTGTTTTCATGTTCCATAGATAGAATTTTATGGTGTTAAAGATGTACTTTTCCATGCAATATAAATATTGCAATTTAGAATTTTGAAAGGTTACCATCTTAGTGAATATTTTGTCGCTCGAAGACCGCCCTAGAGACGAAAGAAGATGTATTAATAAAGAAGAAAATGCATGGAGAGGTACAAAATGGCTGGGGGCCACTGGCATGGCCCGAAGATCATGCTGCCTAGATGAAAAAGAACGGCGAAGCTTTAAGTGCCCAAGTGACTTAAACAAAGAATACAAATAATCAACGTATTACCTGGCACCTCTTATCTTTGGAGTTTCGTCGCTGACAATCCCCTCGGTCAAACTCCCGTGTCAGTCATCACAACGCAGTCGGTGATGTAAATTAAACACTCACGAATCAAAAGCGCCGAACATTAAAATTTGCTTGCAGCCGCCACGTCACTAATCTCTCTTGTCAATTTCACTGGATTGAGAGTTTCGTCTCTTTCGGAAACTGCATTGGAAAAGAGGAATGCCCTGGTCATCTCGTATGTCTACCGATTGAAAAAGTTTCGTAAAGATAAGGCTTCGTTTCCATTACTCTTTACCCCTTTGTTCTCACTTCAGCGCTGCCCAGACATATCTTTCAAAATTTCATTCAGCTGGCAGAGAGGTGGAGGAGGTACCGCCTATTCACCTACTTGACATTTCTATGCAAGTACCGTAGGCAGCTCCGCAATGAACCCTTCCAGATGGTTCACAGCTAGGGTCGCTGCAAGTGGTATTAGTATACCTGCCGAACGCGGGACTGGGGTAGTTGCCGAAGGTGAACGTCATTTTCAAACTTTCTGTTGGGGATCGCACTGATTCTCTCATCCACAGCATATGCCATTCTTCCATCACATTAAGGTTTAGCACTCGGAAATGGAAATCTGAGTGGCTGTCCTTAGGTATCGGGTTCGCTTTCCATTGTCATTGATGTAGCACCCTGAAATTGCACTAGCGACGAAAGAAAACGATACTAGGACAGAATATGCATCTCCAACGTGCAGTAGGGCTCGGAGGTTATTAATATGCCTTGCCCTTAGGACGCCCGCAGGAGGCACAAAGCCCCCAAATAAAGAATGTCAAAATTAGGACAAAGGGGGATACTATCACCATAACTAAGCACGTACAAATCACTACTGACAAACTAAATTGCCTCACTTTTAGTTACGTCGCAACAGTACTTTAGGAATTGCTTGAAACAGTGGCTACATGTCAAACTCATTTAAATGAAACGTCCATTTCATAACTTGGCCAAGACAAACAGTCATTAAAATTCGTTAAACTCAATGAAGCAATATAAAAGTGGCGCCCTAACCTGAGTATTGCCTTCCTCCCCTTCCGCGAACCTCCTTATGCAATGCCGTCAGTCTAACTTATTATGCGGGTAAGTAGGTAGATGGGCGGAAGGGAGGTGTTGAAATTTTATGTGAAGGGAGGGGGTGAAGGCGAGAGGCTGGGGGGAGCGGCTTTATTCATAAAAATTTGCAGCGCTAACACCTTAACTTTATGACCAATAGCGGATGGAATCACTGCCACTGAGGGAAGCATTGTACCCAACACTCTGCCATCATTGTATTTTTTTTCCATTCCAGTGCAAATTTTTGCCGGCTTTTGTGATTCGCCAAATCACTACCTTCAATTTAGGAAGTTCCATCTAAATTAGGCGCGGTTTCCCACCCCCTTCCCCCCTGCTTTTGCTTAAATTTCCAACCCTTTGACTTAGACTTAATGGAAGCAATTCCACTTTGTCAGTCTCAAGAAGCCATGAAACTCATTAGTTTAAAGGTCCTGGAGAAGGTGATGTGTGCGATAGTGAAACAACCTGTCACCCACAATCAAACACTTTTAATGTATGTTGTGATCCCTGGGATCAGTCACTTTGAGAAAGATACGCCAATTTGAAAACGATTCCCTACTCTTGATTGGGAAATAACCTGTCAAGGACAAATAACGTTTGTACTTTACGTGAGCATTAGGTAGCCCACACCGTTGCCGGCTTGAAAAGTCAGTCGTGATGCTACCACCAAAGCAAATGGTTGTCGCCACCTGTCACATAGGTGACAATCACTCACTTCCATCACTAAAGGGCTACAGAAGTCCCTCTTTCATTGTTCCATGGTCTAGTTGATCCAAAAAATATTACACAACACGGTTTTTTTTGTTGCCTATGCGTAAGACGCTAAGAGACTTGATGTCTCGTGTTACACCTGTCATGTATGTAGTTCACGGAGACGAACACCTTGAGATCATACTTTTAGGCCTCATCGTGACAGCATATTTACCAAGAGAGGCACATATTCCTCTCTATTTCTTATAATTCTTCAAGTTTTGCTTATCTGCACCATATTTTGCATTCGCTGAAGACTAAACAAACACGCACACACACACACACACCAATTGTTTCATTATGCAGAAAACAACAGCTTTCACCATTCTCATCCCTACCGTCCTCATTGTTACACAAACGATGAAGGCATTTTTTTTTCAGCCATTGCTTC